AATTTTACTCTTGTATATTATGGGGGGGTATGGAAGGGTGTGGGGGGCTGTGGGCGTGTGTCGGGGGCAGATCAAGGCCCCCACAATGAGAGAGGGAACAGGGCAGGGGTTGGGGCTGGGGCAGGGGCAGAGGTAGGCGTTGCCCAGCTGAGGTGGGGCAGTGCACAGGGGGCAGGGAGGCAGGTGGCTCTGTTCCACGCTTGCCCGTGCCTCTGCCCTGGCCCCACTCCTTCCCTCGCTGTGGGGACCTTGACCTGCACCCTTCATACTTCTTCCCCCACAGACTTACTGATGGTGCTTTCCAAGCTGCCAGGGTGCATATAGGTAGTTGGATCAGTATCGGCTGGTATGGCTGATTAATAATTGGCCATCGGTATTGGCCAAAGAAAACTTTATCAGTGCATCTCTAAATTCAATGCAACAGGCTTGGTCTTTACTTTGGTCTTCTTAAAAGTATAGGGCTCTTCACCACAAATCTATGCTTCTCTCCCTGTGGTCAGAGCACAGTGAAATGAGAGCTGGTATTTAGGATGGCCATTGATTAATGGTGAACAGTTGAACAAAACTGTAGGATCAAGCTATCTCATTACAGGTGGTATGCTTTTTGCCACACAAGATGTGACTTCCCAACAGAGAGAAGGCAGTAGGCCAGAGTTGGACTGTAGTAAGTATAGCAATGGGAATTGAGATATTCATTGAGTAGCAAAAAAGACAAATGTTATTCATGTGACTACTATGAGCCCCAATGGCCTAGTGGCACCAGGCATTACTGAATGACTCCTTTGCTGAGAGGAAGAGAGAGAGAGATCTGTCCTATTTCTTTCTTTTTTTTTCCTTCAGCGAAGGGATTAGGTAATTTGGTTTTGAAATATATTCTTAAGGCTATTGTCCTTTGTTTTCTGGTCTCTATGAGTGAAAGCTAGGTTTTTTCAGGAAACTTCTTTTTTGTCAAAATAGCCCTTGTAATTTGGCAGTGTACTGCTTGACTTGAGTCCAGTAGCATGCTTATTAATGTGAAAACCGCAAGTTGTTTTCTGCAGTGGAGAGGTGTTCAGCATTGTGTGATAGGAGGTTTGAATCTCCCTCGTTAAATTTTGGTTCCACTGAGGCTAGTGACTGAACTCCTGCTGACTACAGTGGAGCCAGGATTTAACCCTTACTAACACAGGATTAGATTGTGGGGACTCTTCATTAGATGTTTGTGCTTTTATTTCTTTTGCCAAATGTTTTGTTTCTGAATTCTCTTTTTTGCTATTTCCATCCAGAGTAATTATTTCGAGATGCCTGGGGGTTCAGTGATCTCATTCAATGCTGTGGATTCTTCTCTGTCTGCTTTAAAAAACTGCCAGTCATACATAAACACCGGCATGGATATTGCTAGTAACGTTGCTTTTGACCTTGTGGAAAATCTCAGTAAGTATTTGTTTTGAGTATATTGTCTTGCTTAATATCACGTTTGAACTGTACAGGCAGTCTTAAGCACACATACATAGGCCTGGGAACAATAAAAATCCATCTTCATTATAAGAACAGCAGCTTTTCTTCTAGCTACTTTGGAGGCTTGCCATTTAAATCACTTCCCTGTCTTAAACGATAACTTAAATGGAATATAACTCCCAAATAGACATGCTCTAGCTTTTTTTAAGTTCAGAAAACTAATTACCTTTTGCTGTTTGCTATCCTGCAGCCTTTTGAAGTTTTAGCCATAAAGGAATAAGACTTGTGCAACCCCCCCTGAGCAGATGAATAGTTTGACTGACTATAACATTACTTCTTTATCCCTATGTGTTTTAAAATGTTCTAGGCTGTTTTCAAAAGTGGCTGTTGATTATTAGGGGTGTACAGCTTGAGATCTCTTGTAAGAGGCTAGATTTTCATAAAATATTCAACCCATCTTGTGCTGTCATGCTCCTGAAAGAGGCATCAGTTTAGCCACCCATTAAGGGAATTATCTCAAATCACTAGTAGCTTCTGAAAATCTTGGCGTATGTATTTTATAATGCCAACTTTGTATGCATTTGTTTTTCAAGATGAAAGCAAAATACCAGGTCCCCTATTCTTGCCACCACTGCAGCTGCAATCTGGACTACATTATCTGAGCACTCTAAAATAATTGTAGGATATGGTAGCTGTTCAAGGGAATGGAAGGTTCTCCTCTTCCTGCATGTACTTTAGTGCAAAACTGTTGAACTCAAAGATCTTAAGATTTTTTTTTTTAACAAGGAGGAGGAGAGAAAATCCCAAAAAAGCAGACGATTTCTTTTTCATGGCATATGAAGCTTCCGTTCAACTAAGTCAATGCTTAGTTTTGAGAAAGAAGGACAGTATTCTCTTTTAGAATGATGCCTTTCTCTTGTCTGACACTGTCACTTGGTCATGGCTGGAGATGGCTTTGTCCTGTGCCATTCCTGTCATCTTGGCAGTACAAAGGGAGCAGAAAGTTGGTGGTTCCCTCCCATTTCCATTGCTAGTATAACCAGCTCTATTCCCCCTTCCTTCTGGTGTCACCACATCTTTTACTTCTACATAAAGGGCAGCTGGGTATGAGGAAATGTGCTGAGCATGCTGTGTTCTCTCAACCCCAACACCTCAAAATGAGCCCTTATAGCTGTTATTGTGGGTAAAAGTTGCACCTGCTGGCTGAAGGCTTGGTGAGGTGGAAAGCCACCTGTGGCCCACAAGGTGTGCAGCTGAGGATCCATCCCAAGAACTTCAGTTTTGCATGTTTTGTGTCCTCAATTCCTATGGGGTACTTCAGTTAACCTTCAGGTTATTATGACCAATTTTTCCTGTGACTTGACCCACAGAGGCTCATACTGCATGTGTCATCTGAGAAGAACACTTATAAATGGCATGGAGAAAATTAAATATTTACTAGTTGCTGTTTCTCACAATGCCATAACCAGGGGACATTCAGGTTTAAAACAAAAGGGAAGCTCTTTTTCACTTAGCATGTAATTAACTATTTGAACTCATTGACCAGGATTTATGGAGTCTGATAGTTTAGCCAGATTTGACAGGGACCCGGACAAATTAATGGAGGATTGGTCCAACAGTGGCTATTAAACATGATAGGACTGCATATCACACACACCTTTCAAGCTCCATTTTTAGGTAGGTTTCTCACTAGTGTTTTTGAAAGGCAGTTTCAGAACCTCATTGCTGTGATGATTAGAAATCTTCTAATTTCCAGCCTCATGTTTATTACCATTTGCTGTTTTGCCAACATTATCCTTTATTTTAATCAGATCATCTTCCTTGATGTTTACCTGCCCCCACCTCAGGTGTTTCTAGACACATTGCAGGCAATTACATCCCTTTTCCTACTTTCATTTTTCTGGGCAAATCAGTCAAACTCTTTTAGTCTACTCGCCTAGTCTTTAATTTGCTTGTCTGTTTTGATTATCCTTGAAGCCCTTTTCTGCATCTGTTCCAATTTGAATTCATCTTCCCTGAACGTGGATAATCAGAATTAGACACATTATTCTGGATGACGTCCTACCATTACCTTGAAAAATGGCATTAGAATTTCCCTATTGCTACTGGAAATATGTTGAGCAATGGAGCCTAAGATGTGGTTTTCCTTTTCATGGCTGGATCACACAAGTGGTTTATAGGTGTATCAGGTTGTGGAGAGGAACAGGGATGGGAACTGAAAAAGAAGAAAAAACTCCCTGCAGGGAAAGAGGAATCTGCTGAAAAAGAGACGGCAACAGGAAAAGAAAAAAGAATGCTGCGGGAGTGTCGGTTCTGGAGTAGCTGCTCCATACAGCTTGAATGGTCCTGGAAGGAGGAGAGCATCACGCATGTGGAGATGGGAAGTGGAGGGGCTTTCCCAAACATCTGGGGTATGGGGTGGGAGCCTCTGAACTCCCGAGAGCTGAACCCAAGCTGGAAGAAGAACTAGGCTGGGCTCTACTGAGCCATGGGATGGCAGCTGTGGAGACGGCGCAGGGAGGAGCTGCGCAAACGGTGGGGGAACGCTGCCAGAGATGGGCCTGCCACGAGAGAAGCTGTTGCACCCTATACAGGTCCCAGCTGGAGCTAGATTTTTAAATTGTTATTTGTTTCCTTTGAACCCTGAGGTGGGTATACTGGGTGAGGGACTGGCAACAACTTCAACCCAAGAACCTGGAAAGGGCAGGATTTCCCAGAGCCACAGGCTGTGGCTTAGGCTTCGGTCACAGGTGAGGACAACCTGGTGAGAGAGTCACAGGCCGAGAGACTGGGAGAATCAAGCTCCTGAGAATAAACGCCTGGAACGGGGTTTTCTCTTTTGATTTAAACTGTTTGCGGTACATTATTAGAAGGTGGGGTACCCCCAAGAGAGTTGGGTGCATAAGGCCCCTTGTGATGACCCATAAGGCTTACCTGAGGTTGAGGGGAAGTCTAGTGATCCATTTTTTTTCATGTTGTCAAGACTCAAAAAACTCAAACCTAGAATGAAAGAAAAGAAAGAAGGTTAGATCAATCAAGAAAGACTATGAGTGTAATCAGCAGCGTAACCGCTGGATAGCACTAAGATGTGGTGTAGGGGAGTTTGGAGGCCCAGAAGTAATCTCTACATGGATTTCTATTACCCGGCTGTGGTAGAAACCAAACAATACCTCCCTACCAATAACGTCAACAAAAAATCAAGAGATGGCAGGCAAGAGTCGGTCCTTACCGCAGTGAATTACGGGCAGGTAAAAACGAGACTAACAGGTCAGGCCAAGAAGACTTCAGGCTGCGAGTAGTTACCCTTAATTGGGGATAACCCCTGACATGGCTAATACACCCATGTCTTTTTCCTTTTCTGTTGTTTCCAAATGATGGGATTACACATTAAAATATAAATTGTTGTTAGTTCTTAAGTGCATGACCCTGCTTCTTGTCCTATTAAATTTTAAGGTGCTTATATTATCCAGACCTCAAGAAGCTTCATCTGATTTCTGCTATCCCAATGCTCAAGTCTTCCAGTGGAATTCCAGTATGGATTCTAGTCTTTCTCAGTGTTGATGATGCTGCGGCTCAAAGTGACATCACTCCAGGGCAGGATTATCTCTGAGCCCTGCTACCCAGCCACTCGAGGCTATGCCTTAGTGTAAACCCCCTTCCCCTTCCCTCTCCCTCTCCCCAGCCTGGATAGGGTCCACTGCCTCCCCTCCCCTCCTCACCCCAGCACCCGAGATCCCTGCTCACTTGCCCTGCCCTCCTCCCCTGCTTACTTGTGCCTGCCTACCCTATCTCTTCTGGGGGAGCAGTCAGGGAAGAATTAACATGCCTGTCCACCTGTCCACCCTGCTCTCTGGGCCAGAAAAGCAGCAGCAATGACAGCTGGGCAGGCAAGTTAACCCTTCCCTGCCTTCGGCCCTGGGACAGGTGGAGCAGACGGTCACAAGTAAGTAATACCTCAGGGCAGGAGGCAAGGGAAAGCCTGGAATGGGAACGGGTGTTGTGAGAAGGCTGCATTTTTACCTTTCAGTCCTCCAGGCCCCTGGTGGCCTGATGTATCTGCTTCAAACTTGAGCGAGCACTAACACCAATCAGCATTTGTGCAGCTCACAGCGTGAGGTGTAACAAGGCCCTGAGACTAACTTATTTGATGATGGCTTAACAGCAGTTCATTTTTTTTGGAATAGTTGTTATATACCAGGGATCAAGACATATGGGAAAGTAAGCTACATCATTTCTTCTGAGGCTTTTGCTTTTCCATCTGAGGTCAGAATTTGATACTTGATGGGCAATTGGAGGAGTATCATAAGTGCTGTTGACCTTCAGTAATTAACTTGTTTTCTTCAAAATACAATCCTGCAAAAACTTACTACCAAGCATAGCATTTATATTAAACCTTGCACAGTATGTTGGGCAGTATAATGAAGCAATAATACATAGTGACTTTTAGTAAACTCATTTGCTTTAAAGTTAGACCTGCATTAAGATATTGATGCCAGAGCTGTCCCAGATATATTTTCTACAGAAATGTGCCTATTGTTACTTTCATGATAAAGGTATGTTTTTTAAAGATAAAACACTGATTTATGAAAGAAAATGCATGTCACTTTCTGACTTGTGATCTATAAAAACTTAATCAAGAATAGGCTGCTTCTAATAGACTTAAGACTTTTATGTTACACTACTCTTGAGTGTGTTTTCCCCATCCAGTATCATCAGTTGTTGTAAATTAATATTCTCAGTTGTTTCCCTCTATTTTAGTGGCATTTGAAGTATTGTTCCCTCTCCTTTTTTCTTCCTGGATGTGTTCAGAAGGAAAAAGGTCTCTGATTTTTATGTTTTTAGTGTTTATTATTTTTCTTCTTATTTATATAAGTTATGAAGCAGTCACAATGTCAGTCTTCAGGTAGAGTAAATGCCAAAGCTTGCCAGGGGCAGGAACAGGTCACATGCAAACAATACTCCTAGTGAGCAAAATA